ATATATATATATATATATATCAACTGCATTCTTCACACAGCTAGAAAAAAACCAACTGTAAAGTTCATATGGAACTAGAAGAGACTCAAAATAGCAAAAGCAACTCTAGGCAACACAATCCCAGATTTCAAATTATATTACAAACCTATTGTGCCTAAAAAACAATAACAACAGCTTGGTACTGGCCCCCAAACACACATGCTGATCAATGGAACAGAAAAGAAGATACAAAAACAACCTTAGGCATATTCAGCCATCTAATCTTTGACAAAGGGGCCAAGGACATACACTAGAACAAAGATAGCCTCTTTAATAAATGGGGCTGAGATTACTGGCTATCCACATGAGGGAGGTTAATTCTAGACCCATATCTCTCACTGTGACCTAAAATAAAATGAAAATGGATCAAATAATGACATATTAAAACAGAAACACTGAATCTGCTGAAGATAAAATAGGTGACACTCTTGACATCATAGGTGTAGGCAAAGGCTTTCTGAACAGACTGCAGTTGCATAAGAAAAACATCAAGAGTCATCAAATGGCATTATGCCAAGTTCTGGAGAGTAAAGGAAACAACAAACAGAGTGAAGAGACAACCTACAAAGTAGAAAAAAATAATTGCCAGCTACACTTCAGGCAGAGAACTAATATCTAGAATATATAAGGAACGCAAAAATATGAGACTCCCCAAAATAAAAGACCCAATCAACATATGAGCAACTGAAATGAATAAATATTTCTCAGAAGAAATACAAATGGCCACTAACTACATGCAAAAATGTTCACCATCTTTGGCTATTAGAGAAATGCAAATTAAAACAATATTAAGTGTCTGTTTTACTCCAGAAAGAATGACTAGCATCAAGAAGTGAAATAATAAAAAATGCTGGCAAGACTGCAGAGAAAAAGAACATTTCTACATTGTTGGTGGGGATGTAAACTGGTACAACTACTACAAAAATCAGTATGGCGATTTGTCAAAAAACTAATAGTTGGCAAGCACTCTATCAATGAGCTACAGCCCTCAATCAAAAAACTTATACTAGAAATTACAAAGGACTGGGGATTTAGCTTAGTGCTTCCACCACCTGCCTTGTAAGCGCAAGGACCTGGGTTTGATCCCAGTACCAAGAAAAAAAAGAAAGAAAGAAATTACATTTGACCCAGCTATTCCGCTTCTAGGCATATTCACAAAAGAATTAAGAAACATCATATTACAGTGATACATGAATACTCATGTTTGTAGCAGCACAACTCATAATAGCTAATTTACGGAAGTGTATATGTCCATCAATGGATGAATGGATAAAGAAAATGTGATACACACAGTACAATACTACTCTGCCATAAAGAAGAATAAATTTGAGTAATTTGCAGGAAAATGAGTGCACCTTGAGAGAATAATGCAAAATGAAATAAATCAGACACACAAGTTTAAATATTATGTGCTCCTCTTATATGAGAAACCCAAAGTATAAATAATTTAAAGTTCAAAATAAAAGACAGATAATATAAAACAGGGAGATAAATCTTTTGCAAATGGAGAGGGCACCAAGAGATGGAGGAAGAAAGGAAGGATCTCTTTTTTTGGAGGGGTCCTGGGAAAGGAGGGATCTCTTTCTTAATCTGTACACTAAAATGGATTCTGAGTGAATTAAGAATTAAATTTGAGGGCTGAGGATTTAGCTCAGTAATCCCAATGCCTGCCTCACAAGTGCAAAGTCCCAAGTTCAATCCCCGGTACCAAAAAAAAAAACAAAAAAGAAAAAAGAATTAAGTTTGAAAAAGAGAAACTTTAACACTTTTAGGAGAAAGTCTAAGAAAACATCTTTGTGACATTGGGGAGGGAAGAATTATGTAAATACATATCAAAAGTGCACAACATAAATAATCTGATAAATTGGCACAATTGTGAGCGTTTGTTCATTAAAAGATACACTAAATAAAAGCTATGGACATATCACAAATTGGAAGAACATATTGGCAACACATATAATAAAATTTTTTAAATGTTTTACAGTAAAAGATGCATTACTATTAATACCCCTCAAAATACTCCCACTTTCTTCGCACGTATTTCCATCATTCTTGTTACTTTCAGAAGCAGTTGTGTAGGTCTCTCCTGAGGGTGTTTATGAGGTGGGAAGAGCCATCTTACAGAAAAGCAGGCTTGTAAAAACATTATGGTGTGTTCTCATCCACTTTATTCACCCCGTCTTGTGATGTGTGTCTTCTAGCTCTTTCCCAAAGTGAAAATGACTGTGAAAGGTGGGCATTTTGCATTGCTTCAGGTTGCCACAACAGCAAAACTAGACACTCAAGAAGGAGGACTTCCAGGACTGCTTCAGAAAATGGCAAAGATTAGGTAAGTAGTCTGAAGTGTGGGGAAGTATTTTGAGGATTCATGGCAATGTGTTTTTCACTGTAACAATTTTTAAAATTTAAACATTTACCATATTTTTCTATCACACTTCATATTTTAAATACTATTTTCTCGTAAAAATGCTTGGTCAATAGAAAATATCAGGTACCTGTGAATTCAAATCCTTTCAGTGTTTTCCAGACAATGCCCAGCCGCCCCTGAAATGGCACCAGTAATCTCTTTGCAAGGTCTTAACCGTGTTTCCTGTCATAGGTCCCTTTTGCAGGTTTTGATAATGAAACAGAAGCAGTCAGGTAGTGATGCATCGAGGGTAGAAAGTGTAAATACAAGTATGTGGAATTGGGTTTGATATTTTTGTTCACTGTGGGTTGGGATCAAAAAAACAGTTTGAATGTGCACCCATGTTTATAGCGGCACAGTTTGTAATAGCTAAATCTTGGAAACAGCCTATTTGCCCATCCGTTGGAAACTGGATAAAGAAGTTGTGGTTTTTCTATAAAATGAAATATTACTCAGCCATAAAGAACGAGAAAATAGATTCATTCATAGGAAAATGGATACATATTGAAGATATACTCCTAAGTGAAATAAATAAGTCACACATGTGTAAATACCAAATAGTTTCCCTGGTGTGAATAATCTGCAACAATGCATAAGATTCTAATAAGATTACTGACATTTAGAAATGGGACGAAAAGAGCTAAAGGTGTAGGGAAGGTGTGATGGGTAGGGGAAGAACAAAAAGGGAAAAGAAAAAAATGTGAGAGAATGAAAAGATGAAAATAAAGTGTTTGTAGATGGGGAGGGGAGGAGGGGGTGAAGGGAGGGCAGAGGTAAGGGGAAAAAATGAGAATCAAGACTTGCCATGTAGCGGTACAAGATCCCAACAATGAATGTAACTGTACTGTATCCCTAAAATGTACCAATAAACTCAATAAAATTAATAAATTAAAAAACAGTTTGAAAGCCATTAATATGGCATATTATTATAAGGCTGAATAGCAAAAACTAGGCGCTCTGAATGCTCCCTTTCCTCAAAGTAAGGTATATTTTCGACTCAGCGCTCCTTTCAGCAGATACATGGAAAATGATCTTGAGAGTACTTTTACAAGCAGCACAGTACTAGTGTTTATTTCCGTCTCTAGCACGGAGGTCTGGAGTGAAGAAGGAATAGAAAGGGCGTACCGAACGTCCCAGCAAGCGTTAGTAGACGTCTGCCAGCTGAGATGCGAGCCCCGGGAGCTGGTGCAAACTCAAGCCCACCAGCCCGGATGCTGAGAGCTGCGCCTGCGCGGAGAAAGGCTGGAGCCGCGCTTCCCCAGGCGGCGTTTGGCTTCCAGTCCTGGGGCTGCCCCGCCCCGTCACCCCGCCGTTCTCCGCGCCTTGCGGGTCACGACTGCGCGCGCAGGATTTGCGCGGGCGCTGGTGGGAAGGGGAAGCGGCGGTAAGAACGGCTTGCGTCCCAGGTGCGTGTGTGACAGGGTTGGGAACTTCCCCTTCCGCTCTGTCCGACTTTCGGACTCGGAGGGGAGCAAGGGAACTCTGGTACCGGTTTCTCCTCACCTTTCCTCTGGCGGACTCCAGCGCACCTCTGACAGCCGAAATGCTTTCGTCTCTCCCGAGCTTCCTCCAGTCTGGATCAGGGCTGAGGCTGCTCCTCACGTCCCACTGGGGAAAGCGGAGGCTGTGTCGTTGGCCTCTCTGCGTCCCCCTCATTTGTCTGAGGTCCCTTCCTTGCCCTTTCCGATGCAACAGATTGGTTGTCCACCTTCAGCATCACAGCAGTTTAGGGATATCCAGCCCTAACCAGGCACAAAGTTTAAGGTTTTTTGTTTTGTTTTGTTTTTGACGTTCGTCCCGAACTCTTTCCGACACCCTTTGCTGAAGCGGTTTCACAGTTCTGACAGTGAATTCAAGGCCATCAAACAGATTTTCTTTAGTTCTTCTGCTTGTCTCCACCCTTTCCTGTTAATTTGCCTCTCTAGTTTGGGATTCTTGAGGCACGTCCTTTACATCCCTAGGCAGTGTCCCAGAGTTGTGCCATTTCCATTTTGAAAATGTGGTCGACTTACAGGCCACCTTTTGGAATGAAACACTGCAGTGACAGTGAGATGATATTAACAGTTACTAAGAAGCGAGCTAACAGACTAGGATTTCTGCCACCCGAATGGATAATTAGTGAACTTTGTCTTGTAGTGAGGAGCAGCATTTTAGCCCAATGGCTGTGCCTGGTGCCTTAAAGGGAGGTACCTCGCAAACCACTGAGGTCCGAAGTCTGCTGACAGAAAAATCTAAGGCAAAAAAAACCCTGACACATCGGGAAATAGGAAGAAAAGGTTCAGAGGGAAGGGGAACAAGGGAATAAGGAGAAAGGAAGGAAGGAACAAGAAAAAAAAAGTGAAACTAGAAGGGAAAATGGAAACAAAGCTTTTATACATAAGGAGGGGAGGGGACCAAAGAGGAAGGGAGGAATGGGATAAAAGGCGGGATGTATTATGTACAGGTGAAAATTCCCTATGGTGACTGTTACATTATGTATGCCTGAAAATGTACCGATAAACGTTTTGCTATAAAAAAGAGAAAACTGACAGCCAAGTCATGTTTAATAATACCAGCAAGTTGAATTTCTATGTAATAACAAATATACACTTTGCAATTATTTGCTAGTTAAATATAAAATATTGACGTTATGGAGATGCTGGTGTGAAATTTTAGCAGTGACTTTAGAATGTCTCAAATTTTTCAGTAAGTTAAATCCTAGATAGTCATGATAATTGGCTTTGTTACTTGACTGACTTTCAGTGAATGCTGTATTTAATACTTTTTTCAAATGTCAGCCTACACCTACATTTTTTCTTTTTTCTTTTTTTTAATTTTAATTTTTTGGTTTTTTGAAACAGGGTCTCACTATGTAGTTGAGTCTGACCTGGAACTCACTATGTACCCCAGGCTGGTCTCGAATTTTCAGCGATCCTCCTGCCTCAGCCTCCCGAGTGCTTGGATTACAGGCGTGTGCCACTACACCCGGCTCCACACCTACTCCTTGTTTTGCTTTTTGGTGCAAGGGCTTGAACTTGAGACCTTGCGTTTACAAGGCAGGCGGCATCATCACTGAGCTAAATCCCCAACCCACCTTGTTGATCCCCAGTTCTCCTTGTCCTAAATTATAAAACCTTAATCATTTTAGATTTCCCCTGTGCATTATCTCCATATATCTTATAGGAACTCAATTTTTTTTCAAATGGTAACTTGGATTTATACCTTTGATTCTCATTGCTGAAGCTGTTAGGCTTTTATTGGATTTTGTTACCTCCTAGCTCACACCTCTGAAGAATGAAACAATTGTGAAATATGACTGTTATGTTTATCCTTATTAAGCCTTTTAAAACTCAGGTCTAAATTTCTATGCTTGGACCTCAAAGTCCTTTCTTTATACCTGGCCTAATAATTCCTATGTAATGTGATATGGTGGGTAAGGTCTTGGATTTAGAGTAAGAAGACCTCAGTTCAGATACCAAGAGGGCTGGGGAATTAGCTCAGTGGTTCTGCCACCTGCCTCAATTCAGATACCAAGACTGTCATACTAACTCATATCCTTGGGGAAACTTTGAGTTTCAGTTTCCATCTTACCTTGGATAAGATTATCTTTTCTTCTCTCCTCTTAGTTATTGTGAGAATTATTATAATTGACATAGTAAATGAAAAGCTAACAGTTTAAAATTCAACCTAGGCTATTATTATCTCCCGTACTCATTCATTTCACAAACATTTAAAAAGCTAATATATGTTAGTGACTGGTGCTACCGCTTTGTAAGACAGTCCCTGCCCATAAGAGACTGTATTTCAAGGAAATTGCACATGTGTGCGTGCATGTACACCCTTGGATTAGGGTGGCAGGGGTCTGATAAGGTAAAGCATGATATAGGGTACAATATAGTTAAGTTTAGAGTGATACAAAGCCCAGAAGAGAGAGAGACACAGGGAAGGATAATGGAGGAATTATATTTGAACAAAGTCTTGGATTACAACAAAGATCCAGAAGGGCCAAGCAAATAATACAAATTAAAGGATTTTCCTCTTCCTCTCTCTCTCCATTTTTTTTTTTTTTTTTTAGTGGTACTGGAATTGAACCTAGGGCCTTGGTGCTGAGCAACAATCCCAGCCCTTCTCATTTTTTTATTTTAAGACAGAATCTTGCTAAATATTTTAAGTTGCTTGGGCTGGGTTTGAACTTGCAGTTCAGCCTCCCAGAGTATTGGGATTATAGGCATGTGCCAATATGCCTGGTTTAAATTGAAGGATTTTAAGCATACATTTGATTGTAATTAACATAGTAGGTGAAAAAGCTAACAGTAAAAAAAACTGACCTAGGCTATTTGTATTTCTCCTTGTACTCATTTATTTAACCAACATTTGAAAAGCTAACATATGTCAGAGGGTGGTGTTTTGGCCCTGAAAGACAGTCCCTGTCCATAAGGGACTGTATTTCAAGGAACTTAACTTACTAAAATTGATTTTTGAAAGTTCATTCTAACTGATGCCTGCTTCCTTACTGTGGGCTACAAAATCTTTCTGTCTTTGTACCTTATTTTATTATATTTATTTATTTTTTTGGTACCAGGGATCAAACTAGGGATCTTGTGCTTGCGAGGCAGGCGGTGGCACCATGAGCTAAATCCCTGGTCCTGTACCTTATTTTATTTACCCAGAAGGGCTTATGACTTTTCATACCTTAATACTGTATTTTAGTATTTAATTTGGATTTCATTTCTTTCTGTAAAGCATCTTCCAAATATTTTAGCCCCCACTACTCTGAAACTACATAGAAATATTACCAATAATTGAATCCTTATTTCTTTAATATATAATTTATGTCCTTAAAGTTGTATTTCCTATATATGAGAATATAAAACATATCACACACAAAAATATGTTCTTTGTATTTTGTTTTTCAGGGTAGGAGCAGATTATGGGCAATAGTCCTTTTAATTAATCTGTGATCATCATGGCTAATGAAGGCTGTTCCAAGGCTGTTGATAGTCCATTTTCATCAGATAAACATGCCCAACTCATCCTGGCCCAGATAAATAAAATGAGAAATGGGCAGCATTTCTGTGATGTGCAGCTGCAAGTTGGGAAGGAAACTTTTAATGTTCATCGGCTGGTCTTGGCTGCCAGTAGTCCATACTTTGCAGCTTTGTTTACTGGAGGAATGAAAGAATCCTCAAAAGATGTTGTACAAATTCTAGGAATTGAAGCTGGAATCTTTCAGTTACTTCTAGATTTCATTTACACAGGTATGTTACAAGAGCCTGTTCCTTTGCAGGCATTCTTGTAAGTGGTAGGATCTTAAATTGATCTAATTTATAAGCAAGGTAACTTAGTAACATTACCATGAGACTTTGAAATCAATCTCTCTCTCTCTCTCTCTCTCTCTCTCTCTCTCTGTCTTTCTCTCTTTCTGAAATGGGGTCTCACTGCATTGCCCAGGATGACCTCAAACTCCTGATTACAAGCAATCTTCCTCCCTCAGTCTCAGCCTTGGCCTGTCATGTAGCTGAGACTACAATCACATACCATGTTCCCCAGCAAAAAGTTCCTAACACTCCTTTTCCAGGAATTCTAACCAATTAACTAATGATACAGACACATATTTATGAACCACAATCTTATTGTACCATTACTTGTAAAAGAATATAATTGGATATAATCTAATTGTCCCCCAGTGAGTTATGTGGTTAAATTATTATGCATGTGTATGTAATGGAATATTTCTTAGATCTTGTAAATATCTAAATGTGTGTGATATATACACACATTGTCACAAAAGAATGTACATGATATACTAAATGAAAAATTCAAAATGTAAGTACAACCCCAAAAAGCTGGGCATAGTGGTACATGCCTGTAATTCCAGCATTTTGAGAGGCTTAGGCAGAAAGTTTAGAAATCTGAGCCCAGCCTGGGCTTAAAAAGAAAAAAGGGCTACAGGTGTAGTTCAGCGTGAAGGCCCTGGGTTCAATTTCCAGGGCTGCAAATATTTTAACCTAATTTAGAAAGAAAAATCATTTGTATTTTAGCATGAGAAAAAGACTGGAATATTGATAGTGTTTACAGGTGATAAAATATGAATATGAAGATTCTTATTTTGCTCCTTTTTCCTAAAACTGTTTATTATCAGCATGCGTTATTTTAGTCACAACTTTTATCTTTAGGGCCAGGGATTTGGCTCAGTGGTTCCAACGCCTGCCTTGCCAAGCACAAAGGCCTGAGTTCGATCCCCAGTACTAAAAATAAATAAATAAAAACTTTTATCTTTAAAATGCTTTGAAGAGTTTTAATGACATAAAATACTTCAAGAACTACGTGTAGTTTTCCCATCCATGTACTAATCAGTTCCGACCCTGCTTGGCTTCTGAGATCAGACACGTTCAGGGTGGTATAGCCACAGATCTATTTGTAGTCTTAAATGATATGCAAAATAGAAAAAAGATTTGATTTATTTTTGTCATTTTGTTTGTTTCTTTGTTTTTTCAGACAATCTTGCTGTGCAGTTCAGGCTGGCCTCAAACTTATGGCAATCCTCTTGCCTCAGTCTCCTGAGTGCTAGTATTACAGGCATGCGCCTCCACAGCTGGTTTTAGAAAAAAATTTGAAAGAAATACACTAAAGGGTTAATACAGTATATGTCTGTATATGGAAAAATGTGTGATTTTCATTTTGATATTTTTGTGTCTTAATGTTTTTTTTGTTGTTGTTGTTCTTTGTTTTTTTGGTACTGGGGATTGAACTCAGGACGTTGCGTTTGCAAGGCAGGTGGCGGCACCACTGAGCTAAATCCCTAGTCCTGTCTTAAAGTTTTTGCAACAGTTAATATATATTAATTACTCTTATAATCAGAGAAAATGTTTGAAAACCAAGAGTATTCATTTGATTTAGTTTTGAATACTACTACGTATGTTTTCCTTAAGAAATTGCTTTGTGAGAGGTTATTATGTGGTCAAATAAAATATATTTTATTAAAAATTTTAAGTATATTTTAATGCATGGTATTTAAATCTGGAAAATGATAAAGTAATTGCTTTTCTCTATGTTGTTTTCTGTTTCTTTTTGGAAAATTTCAGAAACTAGTGATAACTTTAGTTTGGAAAGTATAACAATGATTATCATCTACCTGCTAAAAGCAATACATATCTTGCCTATTGGGTTATGTACAGATTAACATAACATTGAGGGATTTTTTTACCTTACTGTTGCAAATGACTTGTGTGAGCTAATTAAACTACTGCATCTGCTTTGTTTACTCAAAAAATACAAATTTATACAAATTAATCCATAGATTTGGTGTTGAACTATGTAAAAATGGAAGAAATGCCACGGGTTATCTATTCTGCCTATGTCATCTTACAGTAACAGGAGATATTTGGTGAAAGAGAATGTTCATGGCATCTTCATCAGATTGGTGGTGATTACCAGTTCCATCAAAGAAATAAAATGGCAAAAATAAAGAGAAATAAAAACTACTGGGAATATCCACAGTTAAATAGCATTGTAGAAGATTGGCATTTAAGGCAAAATTAGTATCAATTAACAACAGCATTTGGCGCAAGTTCCTGAGTTTGATCTCTGGTACCAAAAAAACAGACAGACAAAACAAATAAACAAACAAAAGAACAGTATTTGGCTGCAAGAAATAGATATAAAATAGCATAACAAGGCCGAGGATTTAGTTCAGTGGCAACGCACCTACCTGGCAATCACAGGTCCTGAGTTTGATTCCAGTACCAAAAAAAAAAAAAAAGTAACAAGAAAAGAGTTTTGTTTTGGTTTTTTTTTCATAAAAATGAATATATAGTAGGCATTCCAAGACTGGTGACTTTATAATGTCATTGCTGTCCATATATAATATGTACCAGTACCTGTAATGTTCCAGTATTTTGTTCCACCATCTATAGCTTGTAGCTTCTATTGATTACAAGTGGAAGGAAGGGAGAAAACAAAAGGGTGTGCTATATAACCTTTATTAAAGCTTTTCTGGTTGTCATTCCCAAAGGCTGCTGCCTGTATCCCATGGGCTAGACTCAATTAAAAGTTCAGGGCTGAGGCAGGAGTTTAACTCAGTGGTGCTGCTGCCTTTCTTGAAAGCACAAGGTCCTGAGTTTGATCCCTGGTACTGAAACAAAACAAAACAAACAAACAAACAAAAAATGTCCAGGGCTAGCTGAGTGTTGTGGCATGTGTCCATAATCCTAGCACTTGGGTGGCTGAGACAGGAGGATCAAATTTGAGGCTAATCTGGACTACATAACAAATTCAAGGTCAACGTGGACTACATAGTGAGACTTTGTCTCAAAGAACAACCCCCTCTCCCTGCAAAAAAGTTTACCCCTATCTGCAAAGGAAGCTAAGAAATGTAATTTGCAGCAGGACACAGTTGTTACAACAAAGTTAAGATTTGGTTAATACAAGAATGAAAGGAAGGGCCAGGTATTTAGCTCAGCTGTGCTGCTGCCTACCTCCGCAAGTGCAAGGTCCTGAGTTTGATCCCCAGCACTAAGGAAAAAAAAAAAGAATGAAATGAAAATGAATATTGAGTATTTATTGGACAAGGAAATTTGTAATTGACACAGTTCTTATAAAATATATTCTATTCCACTTTAATGTAATATTTCCTTTTTCAGAATGTTGGAGCATCAAATGTTAGTTTCTCCTTTGGACTTGTCATTCCCCCCCCCTTTTATTTTTAACTGTACTGGGAACTGAACCTAGGAACTTGGGCATGCTAGGCAGGTATTCAACCACTGGGCTACATCCCCAGCCCTTTTTATTTCTTATTTTGAAACTATATTAATCCCTACAATGGCCTTGAACTTGTTGTCCTTCATTAGCCTCCCTACTATAAATACATAGGATTATAGGGGTACACCACCACACCTGGCTTAGTTTTGTTATTCTTTGATTATTTTGTTTTTCTTGAGACAAGAGTTTCACTATGTAGTTCAGGCTGCCCTCAAACTCACTGTGTAGCCTGGGCTGGCCTCGAACAACCAATGATCCTCTGCCTCAGCCTCCTGAGTGCAAGGATTAGAAGCATGCGCCACTGTGCCTGGCAGATTTTTCTTTATCAGCAATTCACAATTCTAATATATTTTAATGTGTGATTCTCACCTCAGATTTTTATGTATTTCATTTAGAATCAAATGGCCTGAGTTGAGATCTAGCTCTGCCACTAATTATTCTGTGATACTGGATGTTTCATTTAACCTTTGTCATTCATTTTTTTAAACAAATATCAACTGAATACTTTTTTGAGTGAGACAGTAGGGATACGACAGTAACTAAGACAGAGATGGTCTCTACCCTCACAGAACTTTATAGATAATGCAAATGCAGTATTTACAAAATAGAAATGAGCAACCTGAATGTGATGGTGCATGCTTATCATTCCAGCACTTTGGGAGGCTGAGGCAGAATCTTATTTGAGCCTAGCTCAAGCAACTTAACAGTTTAGTGAGAACCTGTCTTAAAAAATAAAAAGAATCAGGAATTATAAGGTGGGAATCATAGAATTTTATAATTTGTGTGAAGGTTAAATGAAGTAAGTCTTAGTAAAAGTGAAAATTTTTTGTGAATTCTCAGGTCTTTTTAAATTGTAGGGGATTCTTTTTTTTTTTTTTTTTTTTTCAGTACCAGGGATTGAACTCAGGATCTTGCACTTTCAAGGTAGGTTTGGTGCCACTGAGCTAAATCCTCCAGACCTAGGGGATTCTTTTTACTAGTTTCAAGCAACTCTTTAGCATTATCCATCCAATAGCAGTCATTTAGCCCTCTTATGTCACCCATGATCTTATTTTATCTAGATTTGTAGTTGTCATTTAGTTATAGTACTAGCTTAATCTCATTTTTCTCTGTAGCAAACTACTCCTTTGCTTGCTTGCTTGCTTTTTTGTTTTGTTTTGTTTTTTGAGATAGGGTCTCACTCTGTAGTTGAAACTGACCTGGAACTCACTATGTAGCCCAGACTGGTCTTGAACTCACAGTGATCCTCCTGCCTCAGCCTCCCGAGTGCTGGGATTACAGGCATGTTACCACCATGCCTGGCTGGCTCTCTCTTTCTTTCTACTGGGATTGAACTCAGGACCTTGCCCTTGCTAGTCAGGCGCAGCACTGCTGAGCTACATCCTGGGCCCTTACGCTTTTATTTTGAGAGAGTGTTGTGCCAAATCACTAAATTGTCTAAGTTGGGCTTGAACTTGAAATTGCCTCAGCCAGAATTACATGTGTGCACTACCATGTCTAGCATGGACTGCAGTTTTTATACTCTTGGAAAAGCCCCAGTTTGAGAAAAGCCTATTTGTATCTTTGGCTATTCATTCATTAAAAAGATGTTGAGAACATCTAATATGTGCTAGGCATTTGCAATCTAGAGGGGGCAAGTCTTGCCTTAACAGACTTTATATATCTAATCAAACAAACTTTGGGCAAGTAGTTTAGTGGAGTGATTGTTACAAAGAGGATAAATTAAAGAGAAACTATAAGACTGAGTAAAGAGTTGATCCTTATTAGGTAGAATTACAGTGGGTTCTCCCTCCCACATATAATTGGCTATTTGATGTGCTCCCAAAGTAATTATGTAATATAAAAATGAAGTAGTATATGTAGTTTAAATATTCAATGTCTTGTCATTTGTTAGACTCTTAGTTATGCCTGACAGTAAAGACTAAACATTGAGTGGCACTGTGTCATAATTGAAGGTAGGGATCTTATGGTACTCTCTGGAGCTCCTCAGTAATGGACTTTTTTGTTTTTCTTTTTGTTTTGAGATAGAGTGTTGCTAGGTAGCTCAGGCTGACCTTGAACTCACTGTGTAGCCCAGGCTGGCCTTGAACTCTCAATGATCCTCCTGTTCAGCCTCCTGAGTGCTGGGATCACAGGCAGTAATGGACTTTAATGTCAGTCCCTACCCTGCAACTTGCTTAGCCATATAACATGGAAGAAATTACTTAAACTTTCTGTTTCCTTGATATATTGGATGTAGTGAGGGTGAACTGAGTTTATAAAGCGTTTAATACTGTATTTAGTTCATTGTAAGTATTCCATAACTGTGAGGTTTCATTAAGTTTTGTCCTCTTTCCAAAAATATTTTGTTGCCTTTATACTTCTGTCTACTCAACAAACATTAAACTGCTAGTGAAAATAGTTTGAGTATGTTAAGTCAAATGTGTGTTTTTATTTTATTGGCTATTTTGTCTCCCTACTTCCCTAGGTATAGTGAATATAGCTGTGAATAATGTTCAGGAGTTGATTGTTGCAGCGGACATGCTACAGTTGACTGAAGTTGTTAATCTTTGTTGTGATTTTCTAAAAAGACAAATTGATCCAGTGAACTGCATTGGGATCTTTCAGTTTTCTGAACAGATTGCCTGCCATGATCTTTTAGAATTCACAGAAAACTACATTCATGTTCATTTCTTGGAAGTTCATACTGGGGAAGAGTTCCTGGCACTTACAAAAGATCAGCTGATCAGAATTTTACGAAGTGAAGAGCTTAGCATTGAGGATGAATACCAGGTGTTTTTAGCTGCAATGCAGTGGATTCTGAAAGATCTGGGAAAGAGAAGAAAACATGTGGTGGAAGTGCTTGACCCAATTCGATTCCCTTTATTACCTCCTCAGAGGCTTTTAAAATATATAGAAGGTAACTTTAGCTCTTTTGTTGTATTTCAGAATACTGAATTATCAAGTAGCTTTTTCTCTGAAATGTGCTAGTTTCATTTTTTTGACACTTTCATTGAATGATTATTGTATGTAAGATATAATAACTTCAGTGGGTAGACAGTAGCATTTATACTCATTCTTTAATCAAATACTTATTTGTCTTTCTTAAAATTAATAAGAAAGATAAATATTATGCATAAAATTACTGACAGAGTTAACACTGTTAACTGTTGTGATAGTTATTTCAGCACAAGATTTCCCCTTACCTTTCTTCCTCAGCAAAGCCTAGTATTTGAGAAGAATCTGTTTACTAAAAACAAAGCCAAAACTCAGAAAATACTGTAAATTCTCTTTCATTTTCAAATGAAGTTTATAATGTCATATCAAGAGCTTCTGAATAGCTTTTGAATCATTGTTAGATTCTAGACTTTCGTGTGTGTGTGTGTGTGTGTGTGTGTGTGTGTGTGTGTGTGGTGCTAAGGATCAAATGTAGGCCTTTCCGCATGTTAGGCAAATGTTCTACCACTGAGCTACAGCTCTAGCCCTTTTTATTTTTTACTCAGGCTGACCTCGAACTTGTGATCCTCCTATTTCAGTCTCCCCATATCTGGGATTATAGGTGTGTGCCGTTACACCCAGGTCACAGCCCCAATTTAAAGTTTTTTTCTGGAAATATCTTCACCATAGTATAAAAAATTATCTTTAGCTGGGCATAATAGCTCACATCTATAATTCCAGCACTCTAGGAGGCTGAGGCGAGAGGATCACAAGTTTAAGCTTAGCCTAGGCAACTTAGTGACTAAATGAAACTGTTGTAAAATAAATAAAAAGGGCTGGGGATGTAGCTTAGTGTGAAGATTCTGGGGTCAATCCCCAGTACTTCAAAAAAATTATGTTAGAAAAATGATTATGTTAAAACTTCTTTTAAAAAAATTTTAGGTCTGGTTTTAGGATTTGATGTTGATTTGGTGTTCTATTGTCATGCACTGAAACATCAGGTTGTGACTGAATTACAAATGATCTTACTACAAACTAAATACACTATTATGCATCAAAGGTATGGTTCTGCAAAGAAATTAAATAGATCTTTTTTTGTTTTGGGTTGAATTTTTGAAACAGGGTCTTGCTATATAGTTCAGGCTGGCCTTGAACTCACTGTGTAGCCCAGGCTGGACTCGAACTCACAGCGATCCTCCTGCCTCTGCTTCCTGAGTGGTGGGCTTACAGGCGTTCACCACATACCTGGCAATCATTAGTTTTTCTGCATTCTTAGCACTATTAACAGAATTTTGTAATTTTTTGTGAGTAATATTTTGTATTAATACATATATAATTGATTATTATTTGCAATAGTTATGTTCTATAAAGATCCTACATAAAACTAAGTTAGCAAATACTGAGCCATTCTCTTAGGAAAAATTTAGAGTTAAGTTCCTGTGAGCCTCTGGTCATATTTTTGTCATCTGGTCCATACATAGCCTTGTTTCAGGTAACTTTTTTTTTCATGTAAGTTTTTGTCTAGAAATGCCTTATTTAATATATATTGTTGATTTACTAACATTGAACACATGGCTGACAGCATTATAATTCATTCTTTTTTGTTTATTTGGTTTTTTTTGAGAGAGGGTCTTGCTTTGTAGTATAGGCTGGCCTTGAAATCACAGCTATCTTCTTGCCTCAGCCTCCTTATGCTAGGATTACAGGTATGCACCACCATGCCTAGCTTGTTTTTTTGTTTTCTTCTTGATAGCCATTCTGACTGGGATGAGATGGAATCTCAGGGTCATTTTGGTTTGCATTTTCCTAATGGTTAAATATGTTGACCATTTTTTTCATATACTCTTTTGAGAAGTGTCTGTTCAATTCATTTGTCCATTTATTTTTTGGACTATTTGATTTTTTGCTGTTAAGTTTTTTGAATTCTTATATAGTCTAGACCAGTGAGGGCAAACCTGTCAAACCTTTCAGTGATATAAACAGCCTGCTGCAGCACATGTGCCATAGGTTCATCACCACTGGTCTAAACTCTGGATATTCATCCTCTATCAGAATAGTAGCTGGCACAGATTTTCTCCCACTCTGTAGGCTGTCTTTTCAATTTGTTAATTGTTTCTCTTGCTATGCAGAAGCTTTTTAGTTTGATGTGGTCCTATCTGTTGAATCTTGCTATTTTTTCCTGTGCTATTGGAGTTCTGTTATTCAGGAAGTGTTTACTCTCTGTTTTCTTTTACCAGTTTCAGTTTCATATTTTATATGTAGGTCTTTGATCCATTTTGAATTGATTTTTTTGTACAGAGTGAAAGACAGGAATCTAGTTTTAGTCTTCTACAAGTAGATATTCTTTTGTTATTAGGTTGTAAGTATAGGATTTTTGACTTTTTTAAATGTTAGATAATTATCTTGTTTTGCCTTTTCTTTATTTGAAAACCTTATACATGTGTTTTCAAATTTAATATTGTGAAGTTTTTTGCAGGGGGTTTGAGACAGGGTCTCACTGTGTAGTTGAGACTGATCTGGAACTCACTGTGTAGCCCAGGCTGATCTCAAACTCACAGCGATCCTCCTGCCTTGGCCTCCTGAGGGCTGGGATTACAGGTGTGTACCACCACCCCCGGCTTGTGAAGCATATTTTTAAAAACATTTTTTGGTAAACAAGTAAAACATATTCTTCAGTGGCAATGAGTTTTTATTTATTACTAAATGTGTCTGTCAAAATTTATGTTTTTAGTAGTATTTAAAAGTTCTTTAAAACATTGTCATTTTAAACATTTCTTTAGGAATACCTGATTTTAATCTTCATATTGCATTGCAAACACTTTTGAAAGAGTACTGTGAAGTGTCCAAATCTCCAAAAGAGAACAAATTTTGTAGTTTTCTGCAGACATCTAAAGTTCGACCTCGGAAGAAAGCAAGAAAGTATCTCTATGCAGTAGGTGAGAAAAAGCAGTAGGAATTATCTTTATTTCAGAATCAAAGCTTTTTAATAGTTTTTGTGATTACTATCCACGTCAGAGTATTAGGTATGTTAGACATATTTAATTTAATTTAATTCATGCTATAGATTTATAAATTACATTTCTATATTACAGTCAGTATTTCTAAAACTAAACTGCTACTCATTTGATATCTGTTATTCTGTGATTTAAATCATTGGGTTCTTAGATTAGTTATCAAATGACTGATGAAAGAAACATTGGTTTAAAAGTTTAAATTTTGAATTCATATTAAAAATAAGGAAAATAAATCTCAAAATTTCAAACTATTCATAGTGTCTTAGTCATTAGAGATGATAGAAATGTTTAGATGTACACAGCTAGTTTCCTCATTACTATCATTTACATATTTAGCAATAAGAGATTTGCTGTTTACTTCTTTTCTCTCCTTTGTTCAGGTGGATATACTCGGTTGCAGGGGGCTCGTTGGAGTGATAGCAGAGCCCTCAGCTGTGTAGAACGTTTTGATACCTTTAGCCAGTACTGGACCACTGTGTCTTCACTTCATCAGGCTCGGTGTGGCTTGGGAGTAGCAGTGTTGGGAGGGATGGTCTATGCTATTGGAGGTAATGACAAAAATGTATTATTTCCTTTATTAAGCTTAGTTGATACTTTTTTGTTGTTTTTTGAGACAGGGTCTTACATTGTAGTTCAGGCTAACCTTGAATTCACTGTGTGGGCCATACTGGCCTCAATTTTGTAATCCTCTTGCTTTAGCCTCTCAAGTGCTAGAATTACAGGCATGTGCCACCATGCCTGGATAATTGTGTACATTTTTTTTGTGTGTGCTGCCTTCTCTCCCTTCCCTCTGGATACATTCCTATCTTTCTTATATATATTGCTAGGTATGTGTCATGCTCAATAAATAAATGAATAAATAAATATTGAATAGATCAAAATAAAAAAAAAGGAACACAGGTTGTTGAATATTATATTCTAGAGAGACTCTTATCCCAGCCTAAAAAAAACAGGGAAAAGCTTTGAATACCCAGAAGGAAAACCCTCCTAGTTGCTAACTTGCCTTCTTTGAGAATTCACCATATTTTTTTCAGTGTTAATAATCAAATAATTTCCAGGCATAGTAATGCATGCCTATAATCCTAGCATTCAAGGCCAGCCTGGGCAACATGTGAGTTCAAGGCCAGCCTCAACTACTAGTGAGATCCTGTCTCAAAAAAAAGAAATATAAAATCAAGATATTTAATGTGTCTGTTTTATTACACTGAGGGAAGTGTAGTTTTGTATTTGTGGTTAAAAATTTGGGTATTATAAAAATGTCATTTTGAATAAACTGTATTTTGAATTGTAAGGGCAAAAGAATTTTTTTTTAATTTTTTTTTATTTTTTTAGTACTGGGGATCACACTCAGGACCTTGCACTTATGAGGCAGGTGTCAGTACCACTGAGCTAAATCCCTAGCCCAAGAAAAAAAATTTTTGTACATTTTTTTTCTTAATTAATGGATTTAAGTTTCAGTAAATAGGGTGACTCTGTCTCAACCCATCGCTTCCAAACTTGCCCAGCTGACCTTGAACTTGTGATCATCCTGCCTTAACTTCTTGAGTAGCTGAAATTACGGGTGTTTGCTGCTGTCCCCAGCTAGACTTTTAAGTATAGCATACGGTATTTTATTTTATTTTATTTTCTTCAGACAGGGTCTTGCTGTGTAGTTCAGGCTGGCCTTGAACTCACTGTGTAGCACAGGCTGGCTTTCAAACTCTTGAAGATCCTCCTGCCTCAGCCTCCCAAGAGATTATAGGCATATTCAACTAGATCTGGCAGTACACTATATTTTAAAATTTTATTTTAAGTAGTGTTTTTTTTAAATCTCATTTTGTGTTTGTTGCCACATAAGGATTATAACTACTCAAATTGTAACCTGGTCATCTTCTGAACTAATACCCCCCAAAAAAAATAGAAATATAAAATGAAAAATCTTTAAAAATTACATAGATTGGGCAATAAATTAGAAAGTGATAATAGAAAAATTGTGCCTTTGCTTTATAAATTGTTTTTACTAGATGGAAATGCTATGGATTCAAAGTAATGTTCTCTAGGCAAATGAACTTTAATGAATATTTTATAATCAGACATAACTATTGAATTTCTGAAAATAAAGAATGCTACTGATCATTGCATTATGGTTCTAGTCTATTAGCATTACTAAATCTTCTTATGTATCTCTTTGTTTAAACCAGGTGAAAAGGATTCAATGATTTTTGATTGTACTGAATGCTATGATCCAGTTACTAAACAGTGGACAACTGTAGCTTCAATGAATCATCCCCGCTGTGGCTTCGGAGTGTGCGTGTGTTATGGGGCTATCTATGCTTTGGGTAATTATGCTGTTCAGTTTGAAAATAACTTAGATTGTTTGAATTTTTTGGTTATAATTAGAGATGTTTTTTCTTTCCCATAAAAAATGAGTATCTTAGCCAGGCATGGTAGCACACACTGCAAGTTTGAGGCCAGTCTTAGCTGCATAGTAAGTTCAAGGCCAGCCTGAGCTGCATAGTGAGACCCTATCTCAAAAAAAAAAACCCAATAAAATAAAATAAAATGTGAAATAAAAAAAAAGAATGAGTATCTTTTCAGCTCTGCAAATTCTTATTCTCAGTTTTGTTTTACATGGAGAATATTGTCATGTGGAGTTTTGTTTTTTGAGACAGGTTCTTGCTATGTAATTCAGGCTGGCCTTGAACTCACTATGTAGTCCAGGCTGGCTTCAAACTCCTGGCAATGTTCCTGCCTCAGCCTCCTGAGTACTAGGATTACAGGCATGTGCTACCATGTTCAGCTAAGTATGAAGTTTTTAAAAAAGAGAGAAATAACTTATAGGTGACATGTCCAGTAAAGCAGTTTAGCTAAATAGTTAAATCTCATGATTTTAACTAAGTATGTAGCACTTCTACCACTCTGATGGTAGCCTAATTATGTCTAATATAAGAAAACACATAACAGAAAAATTAAAGACACCAAAAGAAAGTTTTACATACCTTTTTTTGGTTCTGGATATCGAATTTTGGTCTGTGTGCTTGCAAGGCAGGGCAGAACCACTGAGCCAAATCCCCAGCCCACCAAAAGAAAGTTTTGTGCTATATTATTTCATTTTTACAGATTTAGTGAATGGTTATGTGACATTTTTAAAAAATATTCTGTGTTAAAGTGGAAATAGTGGATTTTGAACAAGTTATTCTACTTTTTTATTATTTCTATAATAAATGTTATAATGAGAGTTGTTTTTATGCAAATAAGAAGTTGATATAACTCTTAGTCTTCCCTATTTTCTTCATGTCAATACCTTTTCAACCTTTTCAATTTATTGTTTGGATCTTACTGTCTTGCCCCTTCCCTGTCCATTAACACCTATTCTGGAAAATATATCAGTTATTTCTATGTGAACTTTTACTCCATTATCCTTTTCATCACTCCTATAAATATTTGTATTTTTCAGTTATACCTCAGAATGCAGAAGGGAACATTTTCAATGTTAGTAATTGGAGACTGTTAAGGCAATGCTATTTTGGGCATCAAGGACCTTTTTGAAGTTCTTAATGTTATCCTAGGGCTGGGCTTGGTGGGGCTGTGCCTACCTCGAAAGCTCAAGGTCCTGAGTTCAATCTTAGGTACAAAAAAAAAACTCATTAAAGTCACACTAAATAGATGTATATCCCGATTGGGCTTAGAATTGTTCTTGATTAATATAACCATTCAGAATATACAGAAGTTGTTGTAGGGCTATGGATTTAGCTCAGTGGTTCCACGCTTACCTTGCAAGCACAAAGTCCTGAGTTCGATCTCTGGTATCAAAAAAACCAAAAACCAAAAAACACAAAATTTGAAACAGAAGTTGTTGCAAAAGTTGGTTTTACAAAATACCATATTTACCATATAATATACTGAATTTTTTGCTTTGTTTTATTCACTAGTAAAACTAGATAGGGAATTTAAAAACCTGAGTTTTACTCATGGTTATACTTTAACTTTTTAAATCATTATATCATTATATCACACTCTGGTTTGTGTGATATTGCTCCATATTATGAAGAAATTGAATCAGTTGTATTTTTCTGTTGTTTTTGGGTGGTTTTTTTTTTTTGGTATCAGGGATCAAACTTGGGACCTTGCGCTTTGAGCCAGGCGCTAGAACCACTGAGCTAAATCCCTGGCCTGAATCAGTTGTTTTGTAAGGTCTTTGTCATGAGATTCCTTTATCTCAGAAATAAATATTTTTCTATTTGATCATAGGTGGATGGGTTGGAGCTGAGATAGGAAACACAATTGAACGATTTGATCCTGATGAAAATAAATGGGAAGTAATTGGCAACATGGCTGTGTCACGTTACTATTTTGGGTGCTGTGAAATGCAAGGTAATTACTTTATATAAAGTATTTTCTTCTATATGTATGTATACATATGCATATATACACACATATACATATGTATATATATATATTTTTTTTTAAAAAACCAATTTTGAAGCTTTGTACAACCGTATATTTTAGGCCTATTAGTATTGAATGACATTAGCAGTATATAATTTCTGCCTTTTATCTCTGCTGTTATTGTCCTTTATTTGTGTATTGCCAAAATAATTTATTATTTTTTCTGTAATAAGGCTAGATTAAAATTTGTAGATAGGCAGAAATACCTGAGTAGCAAAATATGCATTTGATTTTTTCTTTGATACCGGGAATTGAACTTGGGACCTTGTGCTTGCGAGGCAAGTGGTGGAACCACTGAGCCACATCCCCTGCCCACAATATGCATTTGAAATGTCACTGTTATTGTCTGTTTCTCTCCCATGAATGCCCAAGTGAGTTTTTCAAGGTAGGGAGAGAGTATCAAAACAATTTTAATGGCTTCTTTAGTTTTTTTTTTTTTAACAGTATAGTATGATTCAGTCTACACAGAATATAATCCTATGACAGGTTTGAAATAGCTGTGGTGTATATAAAAATGGTATATGGGTGTTCTTTTGTCTACCCTAAAAGATAAGTAGTAAGCCCAGTCAAATAGAGCCTGATTCTTTGTTCAGCATCTGAAAACAAATTTATATGTACTTGCAGAGTTGAAAGCTATCTGCCTATCGTTGTGTAACAGTTCAGCCTACTTCATTTCTAGGTCAAGTTCCTCCTGCTTTATGAGTATTGTACCTTCTCCAATTTCTTTTTTTGGTACCAGGATGGAACTTGGGTCCCTGCACTTGCAAAGCAGTTGTCGGAAGCACTGAGCTAAATCCCGGGCCCACCGTCTCCAATTTCTGCTGGTGTTTAAATGTCCAAATTATTTGAAACAGACTATTTTATTGTGTAACATTTCAGTATTCTCCAGTCATTTTATATTGAATATTTCAGTCTTCTCATCTAAAATCATAAAGACAGAGAGATCTTTATTTCATTCCCTTTCATTTCTAGATGAGAAAGCTGAAGTTTAATATTATAACTGTCAGGGATGTAGCTCAGTGGTTCTGCTGCCAGTCTTGCAAAGCACAAGTTCCCGAGTTCAATCCCCAATAACAAAAACAAAACAAAAAAAAACCCAACAACAACAACAAAAGATTATAGCTGGTTACTGACAAAGCTGGACTAAAACCCATATTGCTAACATTTAGTTCATGTTTGTTCCTTTCTTTTTTTTGAGACAAGGTCTCATTATGTAGTTCAGGTTAGCCTTGAACTCACTATGTAGTGCAGGTGGGCCTAGAACTCACAGTGATGCTCCTGCCACAGCTTCCTACATAACTATTATAATAATAGTATTTATTTATTTATTTTTGTTACTGGAGATCAAACTTAGGACCTTGTGCTTGCAAGGCAGGTGCCAGAACCACTGAGTTAAATCCCTGGCCCATACAATTATTTGTAATTAATTAATTAATTAATTGACTTATCTATTTGAGGCAGGGTCTCACTTTGTAGTTCAGGCTGGCCTTGTACTCACTATGTAGCCCATACTGGCCTAAAACTCACAGCTGTCCTCTTATCTCAACCTCTGGTGTGCTGGGATTACAGGTGTGTGCCGCCACCCCAGCATAACTATTATAATTTAAATACTTTACATTTAAGTTTGTCTGAGCAATAGTGTGGACTGTCACCAAAGAGGGCTGTGACATTCCTAGTTTAAGTGCATGGAAAAATCCATATTCCTTTCCTTTTTTTATGAGTAGTAGCAGCAGATCTGGAATATGAGCTCATCAGATAATGAGAGAGAAAATCCTCATCTGGCAATTTGGTTAATGTCATTAATTTCTTTGAAAACTCAATGCCACATTAAATTATATCCCCCCAAATTTAAAAATTAATGAATATCCTAATTTTTGCAGTGTGCGTAAATTTGAGATGTGATAATACAGACACAAATTGATTTTTTTCTGTAATACTGTAAGCTTTTGAATTAAATATAGCATGTCTCAGTAAATGGATGACAGCTATTTTCTTTATCCTGTCTTACTTTCTGTGACATCTGAGGAAAAATATTCCTTTTCCAGGTTTAATTTATGTAATGGGGGGAATCAGCAATGAAGGAATAGAGCTTCATTCTTTCGAAGTTTATGATCCATTTGCTAAGCGATGGTCTCCACTTCCTCCAATGGGAACCAGGAGAGCATATCTTGGGGTGGTTGCACTCAATGACTCCATCTATGCTGTTGGAGGCTGGAATGAGACTCAGGATGCTCTTCATACTGTGGAAAAATATTCCTTTGAAGAGGTATGTTGGATGATTACAAATAATAACTTGGTTTTCTTTTATCTGTGAGAACTTTAGTGATATTCTCTTTCAATCATGATCTTGATCATTTATGGTTTTTACTTCTCCCTTTGTTTTTATTTTCAAAGAACTAACTTTTGGTATCAGTGATTTTTTTTGTTCCATTGTCCATTTTCTATTTCTTTAATTTCTATTATTTTTCTTTCTATTTATTTCTCCTATTTAATGCCCCTTTTTCTAATTCGTTTCTTTTTTTTTTTCTTTTGAGACAGTGTCTTACTATGTAGTTCAGGCTAGCCTTGAACTCACTATGCAGACTAGGCTGGCCTCTACTCATAGGAGTCTTCCTGCTTCAGCCTCCAGAGTACTGGGATTACCAGTGTGTACTACTACTCCTGGATCCTTTTTCTAAATTCTTAAAGTAGAAGCTGGAATAATTTATTTTAGACCTTCCTTTTCCTATGAGACTTTAAGCTATATTCTTCAAGTACTCCTTTATCCATATCCCAGACATTGTACTATAATTAACATTTATTTTCTAATTTACTTGGTAATTTCTCCTTTCATCCATGGGCTGAGATATAGCACCATGGTAAAATGCATGCTTAGTATCTGTGAGGCCGCACAAGTAAGAAAGAGAAGGAGGGAGGGATGGGGAAGATAAGATACTTAATTTACAAATATGTAGGGGTTTTCCAGATATCTTTTTGTTATTGTTTTTAAATTTAATTTCATTTGATCAGAGAATACATTGCATACCATTTTTGTCCTTTTTTTTTTTTGGATAATGATAACACTATGTCCTTCACTTTCTTTTTTATTTCTTTTTTTTTTTTCTGTTTTTGTATTTATTAATGTTCCATGGGCACCTGAAAAGAATTTGTTTTCTGCCATTGTGGAACATGGAGTTCTAATGTACTTTTTTTTTTTTGAAGCAAGGTCTCACGAGGTAGTTCAGGCTGATCTTGAACTCACTAAGTAGCCCATGCTGGCCTCAAACTTGGGACAATCCTCTTGTCTCAGCTTCCCAAGTGCTGGTATTACAGGCGTGCACCACCACACCTGGCATTTGTTGTCCATTTGCCTTTAGGTGGTTTTCAGTGTTAATAAGTCTTCCCTAGTCTGACTTATCCAACTATTATTACTAAAAATGAAGTGTTAAAATCTCCATATATAATAATAGATTTATCTATTTCTTCTTTCATTTTTTTCAGGTTTGGCTTCATATATTTTGAAGTTCTGATATTAAGTGTATATACACTGCAATTATGTTTTCTAGATTAATTGATCCCTTTCTGGTAATGAAATGTTTCTATTTCTATAAAGTCTTTTTTTCCCTTTACTTATTTTTTTATTAAATTATATTAAATTTATTTATGTATTGCCAGGGATTTAGCTTAGTGGTTCCACTGCCTGCTTTGTAAGCACAAAGTCCTGAGTTCGATCCCTAGTACAACCAAGAAAAAAAGTATTTATGTATTTATTTATACCAGGGATCAAACTCAGGTTCTTGTGCTCTCTTGAGGCAGAGAGTAGAACCACTGAGCTAAATTCCTGGCCAAATTTTATTTTATCCCATTCTCCTTGAGCCCCCTCCCCTTGCTATGTAAAAAAGCTTTGTTTCCATTTTTTCCTTCACTTTTTTGTTTCTTGTTCCTTTCTCCCTCCCTCCTCCCTTGTACCCTTTTCCATTTGAACATTTTCTTCCTATTTTCCTATATCTATTATACATTTTAGTCCTTATTTCCACTTTTTATTTCTCGTGCCAGAAAAACAATACAGTATTTAAACATGTATATCTGATTTGTTTCATTTAGAATATGGTCTCAAGGTATATCCATTTAGCTATAAATGTCTCAAGCTTATCCTTCTTTATGGCAGGGTAGTACTCCATTATATAAAAAACCCACATCTTCCTTATCCATTCTAGACTTTTATAGTTAATTAATTATAAATATAGTTAGATTTTAAACTCTTGTTTTGCTGTTTAGTTTGTTTATAAAATCCATTCTTTAATTCTTTTTTCTCTTTTTTGTTCTATTTTATTTTTGACTCTTGTTTATAGATCTACCTATCTGTCTTTCTATCTATCTATCTATCAGCACTGGTGATTGAAACCAGGGCCTTTCACATGCTAGGCAAATGTTCTACCCCTGACCCACATCCCCCACCCTTATGTTACATATTTGTAATATAGCATATCTACTTTAAATAATATCATACCACTTCACTTAGAATGTAAGAAACTTAAAAAATATACTTTTACTTTCCCTCCTATCCTTTGTGCTATTGTTGTACATATTACCTGTATATATATTACAAATTTCATGATACATTTGTATATTTAAACGACTCAAAATATTTTAATTAGTTTTCATAATTATACAAATACCATTTTTAATTCTGTTCATTCTTTTGGATAGAATTCAGAGTCTCATAATTTTCTCTTAGCTTGAAGAACTTCTTTTAATTTTTCTTTTTTAAGTACAGGTCTGGTGGCAATACATTTACTTAAGCTTTTATTTTTGCAAAATATTTTCTACCTTAATTTTTTTGTGTGTGTGGTTTTTTTTTGTTTGTTTATTTGTTTTATTTTGCTTTGTTGGTGCCAAGGATTGAGCTCATGACCTCATGCTTGCCAGGTAGGCACTATACCGCTGAGCTAAATCCCCAGCCCTCTTAACCTTTATTTTTTAATTTAATTTATTTATTTTTGAGACAGTTTCTCACTATATAGTTGAGACTGACCTGGAACTCACTATGTGGCCCAGGCTGGTCTCAAACTCACAGTGATCCTCCTGCCTCAGCCTCCGGGGTGCTGGGATTATAGGCATGTGCTACCATGCCTGTCTCTACCTTTATTTTATTTTATTTTTTTGGTTTTTTAAGACAGGGTTTCAGTATGTTGTTGAGACAGACCTGGGACTCGCTGTGTAGCTCAGGCTGGTCTCAAACTCACAGCGATCCTCCTGCCTCAGCCTCCTGAGTGCTGGTATTACAGGCGGTGCCACCATGCCCGGCCTCTACCATTATTTTTGAAAGATATTTTTCTGAGTGTAGAATTTTAAGTTGAGGGGCCAAGGATATAGCTCAGTGGCACCTGCCTTGAAAGTGCAAGGTCCTGAGTTTGATCCCTGGCCAAAAAAAAAAAAAAAAAAATAAGTTGATTTTTCCTTCAGCACCTTGAAAATGTTGTTCAATTTCTTCTCACATAGTTTCTGATGGGAAGTCAGTAATGATTTTTATCTTTGTTCCCCATACATAACATGGCTTTTTTTCATTGCCATCTTTGAAGTTTCTATCACAAATTTTCAGTAACTGATTATGATGTTACATGTTAGAATTTTGTGTTTAACTTGCTTAGAATTCATTGAACTTTTTGGATCTGTGTGATTCTAGCTTTCCTCAAATTGGAATCCTTCCTGTCTTAGTTCTTCAACTATTCTTGTGCCATCTTTCTGTGACTCCACTTATATGTGTATGAGACCACTTGATATTGTCCCACAGTCACTGAGGCTCTGTTAATTTTTCCCACTTATGTTTTTTCTGTTTTAGTTTGGATAGTTTCTCTTTTTCTGTCTTCAAGTTCATTAATCTTCTCCAATGTCTAGTTGCAGCTAGAGATTTTCGCTTCAGGTATTGTGGGTGTTTTTAGCTTTAGTAAGTATTTTTAGGTCTTCTTTAGTCACATTCATGTTTTCCTTAAATCCTTAAACGTATAAATATCGGTTTTAAAGTAGTCAATTTTATCAACTCTATCATTTTTATGTATATGTTAACTTCTTTTCAGTTGAATCACATTTTTTCCTGCTTTACCACGTTTCTTTTTTTTTTTTTTTTGATACTGGGAATCAAACTCAGGACCTTGCACTTGCGAGACAGAAGCAGTGCTGCTGAGCTACATCCCCAGCCCACTAGTAACTTTTGATTAGATACTGGATATTGTGACTGTTATGTTGCTATGTGTTTGGATTTTGTGTTGATGTACTAGGAATTGACCCAGGGGCTCTAAGCAAGAGCTCTACCACTGAGCTACATTCCATGCCCTTTTTTATTTTTTATTTTGAGACAGGATCTTGGTATGTTGCCAGGCTGGCCTTGAGTTTGCAATCCTCCTGCCTCAGCCTCTGCAGTAGTGGGAATTACAGGCATGTGTCATCTCACCTGGCTGGATTTTACTTTCATCCTTTAAGAAGTGTTCAGTTATTTCCATATTAGATTAATCTTTTTGAAATTGATTTTTTTTAAGCTTTGTTGGAAAAATCTAGAGTAGTCTTTTAGGTCTAGGTTAGCCCTGCTACTAAATCATGACCCTCCTTGGGTTTCTACAACATTCCCTTGAGTGTTGTTCACTTTGGTTGGTCAGAACTTGAATATCACCTAGGCTTGTGTGAACTCTGAGAATTCAAGAGCTTACAACTACTATTAGTTGTTCTTTGCTTATTCTTGTGGAGTCTCACCACATGTAGGTATAGCTTAGTAGTCAGCCAAAGACTCAAGGGGACCTCTATTCTCTGACACTGATTCCCTGCAAATTTTAGGTGTTTCAATGTCCACTCTCTGTCCTAAATTAACTATAATGTTCTTTTTGTGATCCCTTCCTATATTGCTGTTGAGAAAGCCCCTCAAGGCAAGAAGGAAGCTTACCTCATTTCTTTTTCTCAGAGATCAGAGTTTAGCATTGCCTGTTGTCCATTGTTGGAGAACTGGTGTGTCCCATCCCATCCCCCGTACTGGGGCTCAAACTCTGGTCCTTGAGCTTGCAAGGCAGGTGGCAGAGCCACTGAGCTAATTCTCCAGCCCGAGAACTTTTTTTTGTTGTTTGGTGTTTTTTTTTTTTTTTTTTTTTTTTTGGTATCGGGGATCGAACTCAGGTCCTTGCATTTGCAAGGCAGGTGGTGAAATCACTGAGCTAAATCCCTGGCCCCCGAGAACTTTTTTTTGAGACAGGGACTCACTATGCAGTTCAGCCTGGCCTTAAACTCACTATGCAGGCAAGC